CTACCACGGCCTGATTCGACGGGCGCGATTCCTCGCTTATGCTTCACAGCTCTCCACCAAGCCTCCACCCTACGCACCTTACAAACTTTACCTGACCCTAAGTTGCTTGTGCAATGCAGGTTGCAGTTTTGCTATCTATATTTGTAAATAACATTATAAATTGTATCGATCTACCCAGTCTCCATTTAAAGTTCCATGGTAAGTTGGCGGACTTCCCTGATTGGAAATGAATCCACAACGAATCCATTGGGAGTCCACTTTATACCAAAGAAAACGGAAAAGAGAACCTGCAGCTCTGTCTCCGGGTCTGCAACCTCATCTGTCGCTTCACTGAGCACTTCATTGGCGAGTTCGGATAGCTGCCCTTGTAGGTTTCGAAACCAGCTCATAAATATACAACCTTAAAAGAAGAATATTCCCAGAAATAATTAGGAATCATTGCCCTGCTTTGAAGAAGCGAGCTATTCACAGCAGCAGGCAAAAAGATCGATGAATCGCGCCAGCGAATGCGAAACGGTGGAATTAATACGGTCTCAATATCGTTTCTGAGCGAGATTTCGATGACGCAATCGGTATCATTCAAACGCAAACATCATAAAGATTATCCTTTCAACATTGTTTTCGTAAACCAGACCGAAAATCCGTTGCGAAAATTGAGAATACTTCCGAAGTAACACGTAGCACAAGAAGATAGCCATAAACGAGAAAAATACAGCAATTCTCTGGATATCCTAGTCGGAGAGTAGACAGAAAGGTACTATTTACCCTTTACTGCCCCAACCATCCAGAATTGAGCCAGTTTTTGACCGACTTTTTTCTCCGTGGACAGATTTGGCTCAAATGTTGTCTCCTGGGGTAGTTTGACCTCCTGAATACGAATATCACATTCGCTTAGCCCGAAACTTCCTGGCGCCCGCGCCACAGGCGCCGGTGATTTGGGGTATTTTGGCGCCAGCGCCTGTAGCGCGGGCGCCAGGAGGTTTCGGGCCGAGCGGATGTGATATTCGTGTTCAGGAGGTCAGACTACCCCTGGGAACAAGTTTTCAGCGAATTTGGTGATTTAGGTATTTTGGCGCCGGCGCCTGTGGCGCGGGCGCCAGGAGGTTTCGTGCCTAGCGGATGTGATATTCATGTTCAGGAGGTCAAACTACCCCAGGAAACAAATTTTCAGCCAATTCTGCCAACGCAGAAAAAAGTCGGTCAAAAACTGGCCTGTTTTGGAGGATTGGGGCAATAAAGGGCGAGTAGTGCCGACAGAAAGTTTCCTTTCTTGTTGATATCAAACAACAATGGGCAGTATCAAAATCAAACATTAATTGTAACCAGGGTCACGTCGTACCCTGGGACACCAAAGAGAGAGTGGGAAGGGGGGGGGGAGTGTATTTGCTTCGAAGCAAAATGTTTTCGGCTCGCTTGTTGACTTTTTTGGTATTTATCGTCTCGGAGTGCTTCTCGTGCCTCCCTCCGCTCGACGGTAGTTTTTTGGGGAAAAACTGGCTGAAAATCGGAAGAATTTAGGAAGATGACATGATTATAGGTGGGATGAGGGGGAGTCGTTCAGAAAGGCAAACTTTGAGTTACACGGGTGTCAACTGAACACTCTCGCAACGGTCAAATTTCGCTGCAGGCGTCCGGAGGTACTTTCTCATCGCATCCCCTTGCTTAGCAGTTGAGAGGAGAAGGAAAAGGAAGAGGGAAGAGAGAAGAAAGAAAAAGGAAAAGAGGGAAGAAGGAGAAAGGAAGGAAGAGGGAGCGATTCGCGACTGACAACATCCTGAAATGTAATCGTCGAGGTATAAGACGTATTTTGCAGAATTTTTTCCAACGGCAAGACGTGCCCTTATTGTAACTGCTTATTAGCCAGACATAAGTCCAGGTGGTTAGAAAAATAACACAGCAGAACAATTCTTCAACGAGTACAGATACTTTGAAACAACAATGAAATATATAAAAACATGTTATTTCTATCATGTTTTTATTATTAATTGTTGTTACAGGAGAAGTTATAGAAGATCTAGAATGTTTTTTGATCAAACTTTCGTTTTGTGTGCACGTACTCAGCTATATCACCCCGTTTAGTTACTGGTCCCGGTTTAATTTCTTTAAAAGACGGAGGTGAGACCTGAGGTAAACGATGGCCAAAAAATCTAACCCACTACTAATCTGGCTGCCTCATTTCTGTCGAAGTGAGCTGTTATAGAGGTAAGGCCCTGCGACGCACCAACATTTCTGTACCCATCCCTCAATATTTGCAGCGATCAGCGAATTCCCGGGACCAACCCCCCCCCAAGCCCAATTTGAATACTAGTTGGTCAGTTAATAAGGCCATATCCCGTTTCCGTGTTCTGTACGTTCTTCTAAGAAAGAGCTTACTGTCACCGTTACATGTAGTGTGTTTTTGTAGACTTGAGGAGCGGCTTGAGGCTCGAAACGTCGTCGCATAAAGTGTGAAAAAGTCTAAATCGAACAACAAAGAAGGAAGACCGAAGGATTGTATTTTGAATAACTTTTCCCGTTGAAAGCATGAGGCAAAGCAGGGACATCACTAGTTGAGGATTTTGATCGAGTCCGTACACCCCCCCCCTGAGGTTTGGTACGACCCCCCTCCCTTTTCCATCCTACATACCACTTTCTTAGACTCCCAACTTCCTACCGAGTTTTCCGGAATTTCTCGAAAATTTTTCTATTTTACCAAAATTTTGCTGTCGAACGGGGGGGGGTACATAGTGCACACGAACAAATGAAACAGGAAACCCACGAAAAATAAACAACTCTCTCAGAAGGTCAGAATCATAATACGTCCCCCTTCCCAACAATTAACAAATACGACTCCCCTCCCTAAGCGACCACGTACGACCTCCCCTGTTGGGGAATCCCCAACAAAGATGAACCCTGATTCAAAGAGCAGCTGCGCGAAATAAGAACTGATAAGAAAATAAAGAATGAAAGAGTTCTGGCTCGAGCCCGATCGATATGCACCAAAATCACGACCGCATTCGAACTGCATGCAACACGAAGGCTAAACGTGTGAGCAAGTGAGTGTCTTGAATGATTCGACACGTCATTGGCTTTATGATTGATTAATCAATAGACACATCAGATCGCATCCGTTCATGTCGCTCCAAATGCGTTTCGTGCAACATGCACGCTATGAGTCATGCCCAGGGTGCACAGCTTTCACCCAAGAACGACTCATAACACGAAGTTGTACCACGCGAAGGCAGGAGTTGTTCAGTAAAAAGGGTAAAGTCGTCGCCGTTGATCAATCCTTTTGGGATGCGGCATGCATTCACTTCCATTCAGAAACGGAGTGGCTTATTGAATGCGATGTTTGCGACAATTACTTGCGGGGGCCAGCCGATGTACAAGTCAGTGTTCTTGTCCTGCCAGAAGTATCTGGTATCAATTTACCGTCCCGTGAGGATAAAAGCTGGATGGAGTCAGTACGGAATATCAACCCAGGACCGCGCGTGTGG